AAGGGAGGAGAAGAGAGGGAGAGAGAATTTATGAAGATTGTAACCTTTCAATCAATTGTAAATCATCAGGAAGGTTAACTAGAACTGGTAAGTTTTTATTTTAAAAGTAAAAATGATTGTTTTTAATGTTGAAATCAATGTGATATAGGGAATTTTGTTCCCCAAAGAGAGAAGGCAGAGAGCCCTTAAAATATTTACAGCTTGCTATGAAGAACTTAAAATTCTCAGTACAAATTATGTTTTAAATATTTATACAAAAGAGGAAACAGTTACCAAAGATTTGTGATATACAGGGTAAAATGAAACTAACTCAATTTAATAGTAAAGAAAGTTCATGTGGGGCTGGCAGGATAGCTCATCTCAATAAAAGGGCCTGAGTTCAATCCCAGGTTCCGCAAAAAAAAAAAAGGAAGAAGAAAGAAAGAAAAAAAAAAAGTCCATGTAATTCTTATCTAGATAATCTTACGTATAGATCTGGTTTACCATCTATTAGCATTTTATTTTCTTTACCCCATTAATACTACCCAGCTATCAACTTCTGGAGTCTGTTAATTTAAATGTTTTGTCACCTGTCTTAAATCTTTTTTCCCCATGTATTTCCAAAAATGTGTTCTTTGTATAATATTGCCATCTTCTTTGTTTCTGAGGGTAGTTATAATATTTTAGATATGTGTAAATGTTTCTACATTTTACGTTATAAAGTAAGAAAATAAATGCCTACACATATTTTAAAACTGTAGAGAACTTTGGTTTGTTATGACATTTTTGTCATGAATTTATCTTTATCTTCTTATGACTTTAAACAAGTCAAGGTCTTTCAGAATCCAGAAAGTCCTGTATGGAATAATATGGGTTCCAGTCTAGAAGTCTTCATGCTCTGACTTCATAATAAAGCACTAGCATTGGCTTTCGCCGTCTGGGTCACCTGGGGACGGAGGGTGAGGTGGACCTAACCTCGGCCAACGCTTTCTTTAGCTTCCTGAGCAGGTCATTGTTGGAAGTCGCAATATCCACAAAAGTCATTCTTTGCTGAGGTTCCTTCTGGGCCACTTTTGGTGTGAAATGTGATTTTCTTTCCTTTTATAGCCAATGAAGAAATTAAAGTTAATGGTATAGTCTTTTCTTTTTGTTTTAGAGAACAGTCCGTGCCTGAGAACTGTTTCAAGGATCTGGCTTCTATTGTAATCTCTAGTTAAGTTTCATCCAGCAGGATATGCTTCGTGTATCACGAATCCCCTTTCCCATTCGGCCTCTTGAGATAAGCAATGCATCTTTGAGCTCATTATTTGGAAGTTTTAGGATAATGTCGCTGTGGGGCCTCCCCACCCAGGGCACTGTCCAGGCCATCCCATTTATCAAGTGTCCCTGAGTGTGTTCACGGAAGTGCATTAGGAACAGGAATGTCATCTGTCATGCATTTCACGGAAGTAAAAAAAAAAAAGGCATGGAAAGTTCAGAACTCTAAAATAAGCTGTTCGTTTAAATTGCCTGCCTGTCACTCATTGTGTGACCCACACTGGGCCTGGCATGATGCTTTGCACAAAGAAGGGGCAAAATACACGTTTCCTGAATGACCTAGTGAATGCAGCCCACTAAGGTAATGCATTCCAGGGACAGAAGCAGGAGAAGTACAGCCTTTGGTTTTTTTTTTTTTTTTTTTTTCCAGTGTATTTCAGAAAACTGTGTCTCCTGGTACAGTGGACTGAGCTGCACCTCCAGTGTGCAGGAGCAGCACCCAGCTGGTCCCCACGCAGAGCCTCCAGATGTGAGGGTCACTGTCCCAGTCCCTGCTGCAGTACTTATGTTTTTCAGCCTAGGAAGTTCTGGTAAACTTGTTACCATAGTTGTTACCCTAAAGTCTAATGTACTCCCAAGGAATAGGTGGCTGAACTGTCAAGCAGGACTAGGAAATATTTGTCTAGACATTTGATCCGATCTGTATTTTTATTGATGTGTAACTGGTGAGAAAATAGCCAAGACAAATTTAAATGCTTGTGTCTCTGGCCTTGTCACAGCCTCTGAGCATTCATTCATCATCATTATCTTGAATTCCTGCAGCCGGCAGACTTCATAGGAAAGCAGGCACTGAAACAGATTAAAGCCGAGGGGCTGACCCGGAGGCTTGTCTGCCTCACCTTGGCGACGGATGATGTGGACCCAGAGGGGAACGAAAGCGTCTGGCACCGTGGCCAGGTGAGCGTGCAGGACCTTGTAGCCAGGGCCATTGTGGTGTCCCTGGCCGAAAACTCTCATTGCATGTTTATTGGCAACTTTTGTTGATTTATTTATTCACTGAAAGGCTGATGAACTTTGAACCTTGTGATTTTTGAGGTGCTATTCAAGAAACAGAAAACCACTGAAAGGAACACAAAATGCTGCTCAGTTTTAAAATATATAATCCTACGTGCTCTGTTAAAAAACAAAATAAAACAAAAACAGGGAACTGAAGGACTTGAGCAACATTGTACAGTGGGGAAGGTGTGAGTCTGAGGGTAAAATAATCTGTTGTTCATCACATCTTTAGCATTTTTGTTCTGCTTCTGCATCAGAAGGGGCAGTTAGCCTAAGGCGTTAGTATTAAAAAAAACTCCCGATGAAAACATCTATGCTAAAGGGCCAGGACTGAGCCCTAGAAAATTAAGGAAAAGGGCCACCGTTTGGTTCTTTGGGAGGAGCAAAATTTGGAAAATATACAGTAAGAACAAGCGGGACTCAGGCAACTTGTCCATGTCTCTCACTTCCTTTACTTTTTTTTTTTTGGTGGAACCAGAGGATTGAACTCAGGCCCTTGCACTTGCCAGGGAAGCGCTTATTCTACTGAGCCATCTCCCCAACCCCCTCCTTTACTTTTTATGACTCTGCAAACCGCAGCAGTTACAGCTCTAGAGCTGTAAAACTCTTTAGCTCAACATTTAGGTGTGTTTGGGCTAGGGTTGTTCGGGTGTGCAACTTGTGGGTATGTGGCTGTCCAGAGGGCACGTGGCCTTCGAGACTCATCTAAGTAGCTGTCCCACATGGAGCGGCAACAGCTCGGTCCGTACCCAGGGCCCAAGAGTCTGCACCAGGGTTTTACTCCTTGACCACAGCCTGCCTATCTTTGTCTTTATATTTTCCATCACCTCAGGGATGAACTGTGTGTATGGAGGGGAAGCCCAGGATCAGGTCATATCATCTTCGGGTTGCTAAAGAAATGGTGACTTGAGCTCAGGCATGGGTCTTTTTAAAATTTTAATTTAAACATTTGTTCTACCAGCGGTTGAACCTGAGGCCTTCCCCTGATCTACAGTCCCAGCCCTGACATCTGCTGAGGCTGCCACTCTTTTCACATGGGAGCCACTCACTCTCTCGCATGCATACCCTCATCTCATTTAAAGATGTGCTTTGGGGCTCAGAGTTTAAGTTAATCCCTTGATTTTACGCAGTTGGTCACTGAGCTGGTTTTCCAAACAAATATGATTGGACCTGGAATTTCTTGTCCTTTCTTCTAGGGCACACTGAATATTCCAGTTGGCTCTTCTTGATGCTGGGCACCCGAATGCTCTTCAGAATGGAATTATATACCCCGTTCTTCTACCAGTTAGCGATATGGTTAGACACAGGGAACCAGCAGACTCTCCTCATATCTCAAGCTCCTGCACCTTTTTATGTAAGAGGCTGGTCTCCACTTCCTTCTTAAATTGTGCTGCTGGCCCTTCTGTTCCAGTTGTTCCTGTTTTCCTCACTATTTCCCCTTCTTTCTATTCTTAATTTTCTGGTTTAGCCTCTTAATGTATGTTCTACCTTCAATTTCAAACTTTCCCACACTTTTCATGATTTCTACTGATCACCAAAGGCATGCCTTGATCCTGACCTTTGGGTCCCAGACTTCTTACCTGTAAAAAATAAAACTACTGATGCCAGATGTAGTGGCCCATACCTATAATCCAGCACTCTGGGAGGCTGAGACTGGAGGGTTCCAAGATTGAGCAGTTGAGCAATTTAGTGAGATTCTATTTCAAAATAAGAATAGAAAAATTTGGGATTGCTACATATTCAGATGGAAATTTGTTTCTTGTATAGGATATCAAGAGACATGTTTTACCAACAACACCATCGTCCACAACAACACACTTAATTGTCTGCATTGTGGAAACAGTTTAAGTATTTCAAATTTGATGTTGACCTTAGCTCCTCCACCTGGGGCCAGGAACTTTCAAGGAAGACGTTCGTGGGGAAGTTTGGAGAGTTTTGAAGGTTTTCTTTTCTATTATTTTATAAACTGAAATACACAGGGACAAAGAAAGAACCACAATCCTTCATCCCAAACCAAATCACCCTCTTTGAAAGTTATTTGCCAAGTTACTTCTCCCAAACAGCCAAACTCTCCTAATTTAAGAGTGGAACGAGAAGAGGCCAAAATTAAAACAAGAATTTACATTGGCAGAAGGAGCATCAGTGTTCCCCTAAGCAAAGAATGCTAGAGAAATCCTCTCTCTGCAGGTTTATTAATAAGATAAAAGGAAAAAACAGACTTTAAAAACTATGCTAGCATGCTAATTCCAGGATTAGAGAGAAATTGAAGCAAAAATGAAAATAAACTCTAGCAGAAAACAGAGCATATTTTAAAAATACAACTCACAAAATAAGTACTGTGTTTCCTGAGGTTGCCAAGGCAGAGTGATGACAAGGCACTGCTGTGGGGCTGGTCGGAGGCCAGAGGGCTTTGCCCCTGAGTAAAGGAGAGCACCACACAGTTGCCCAGGACTCTTCCTGTTCTGAGGTGCCCAGGCGACTCACATTAACTCTCCTGCTCCAGATACAGATCTCTGCTTGCAGACTGCAGAGTGAAACCTAGGCTACCAAGATGGGTAGTTCTATAACAAGGCATGATAAACGGCCGGGATGAGAGGCATGCATTTAATCTTGGTACTCTCAGAGGTTGAGGCAGGAGGATCATACATTTAGCTTAGCCTGAGCAATTTACTGATTTAGGAGGACCCTGTCTCAGAATAAAAACTAAAACAAGAGCAAGGGACACAGTTCAATATGAAGGCCTTGGTTCAATCCACAGCATGGGGGGTGGAGAGGCAGGGGAGGAAGAAGGGGTGGGGAGGAAGAAGAGGGGAGGGACAGAAAAGGAGAAAAGAAGAGAAAGAATTAAAACTTTCATTTCCCAACCCCAAGTCCCTGCCTTCTAACACCTATGATCAAAAGGAAAAAAGGAATTAAAAGTATGTGCTATACTTTAGCTATAATTATATGTCAGATGAATGCATTCAAGTTTCTTGCTGTCATTTCTATAATAAACCAGTTCTTGCCATAATAAGTTAAGAAATCATACAGAAAGGCTCCAATTTGGAGGTTCAAGGAAATAATTAAAAACTAGGACTACAAAATGAGGTCTGCACTCACCATGCACTGTGTAGAGATCTGAAAGACTTGTGCCGGAATGGGCTCCCCTGAGGCCACTGACTGCCTCCAGGCTGGCCTCTGTCCATAAGTGTATGGACTCCAGCCCTGGGTATCCACGCTGTGCGCCAGTGCGGCCAAAGAAGTGTTGGTGCTGCGCGACCAGAAGCCACTCTGAGCAGTTCTAGTTATTTTCCTTTCACTTCTCCATGGAGCATTTTTTAAAAAAATAATTTTATTGAGAAACAAATAGTAATGAAACAGTTTCAGAACTGCTTAGGAGGAGAGTTTCAATAATTAATACATTGCATATTGTTGTCTTCTTAGTGGTTATTCATCGTACAAGATGCAGATATGATATCCTGTCCACAAACACTATTAGAACAAATCTTTCTTGTCATTGAATTAAGAGAAAGTAGCTGTATATCTATCCTAATTATTTTGAATATAGAGACACAAAATGGTCGTTCATTTGTATCTTCTTTTTTGTTTAGTTTTGTCAAAGAAGGGTATTTGATTGTCATTTAAATATTGTAGGTGCATGAATTAAGTAAAATATTCCAAAATAGTCCAGTAGTCCATAATAGTAGTGGGTTTTCCGTAGGACTGGCAGTGTCAGAAGTTGTTGACTTGAGACCTTTACAGCTCAGCATATTAATTTGGCTTTACTTTTTATACTTCATTTTTACACTTTTCTGCTGGACGCTTAAGACCAAGGTAAAGCAAGAGCTATATAACAAGAAATGTAGCTTTTGTATCTGATAAGGTCAGTCAAATCCCCTCAGGATTTATCCTGAGGCCCTGTACCATACTTTGTAGATTCTTTGTCAGTGTCAGTCATGTGGATGAGTCACGGCTATTGCTTGACCAATTTGCTCTCTGTGAAAGCCTGAAAGAATGTTTTCTCTCCATGTGACTCTCCTTAGGCACACTCTATATCATCCATCACTTTCCTCTGTGGCCCTGTAATCTCCTTAATCAGAAAATTTTGGACACAACTGAGTTACATGGTATTATAGTACAAGTTCTCCTATGTCCTGAGTCCTCACTGATCTTGAAAGGCTAGGATCAAAATGTTGGCTGTCCTTGAAGCCCTTCTTTTTCTCTAATTTTTGGTGTACAAACTTAGGTTGTTAACCCTCCAGAAGAGAAGCTTATTATTATTACCCTACAACATAGGCAGTTGAGCTTAACCTCACTATTTGTCTGAATATCAAACATCTTGAATTTCTTTGCACTTCTGCTTTCATTGTCTGCTTTAAAGCTGTGCCCACTAACTGCTTTATCTTCTTTTTTTAATTAAAAATTTTTCAAAACAAGATAATAGGGGTAACAATGTTTAATACATTGGGGGTTGTTATCTTTAACTTCATTACTCAGAGTAAATATGTAGCCATTTAATTGTAATTATCTGAACTATGAGCATAAACCTTTCTTTTCAATGAACTAAGAGAAATTAGTAACATAATTGTCTTAACTAATGTATAATATTCATTTTTCTTTTTCCCTTCCTTTTCTTTTTTTCTCCCATCCCAGTTTCTTTTTCTTTTTAAACAGTTTCTTCCCATTTTATAATATCTATTGTACATTTTGGATCTTATTTGCTTTTTCAGCTTCTCCCATTAGGAGACAATATGATGTTTACCCATGTGCATCTGGTTTATTTCACTTATGATTATGGTCTCTAGTTGCATCCATTTACCTGTAAAAGTCTCCAGTTCATCCTTTTTTATAGATGAGTAGTGCTCCATTGTAGAAAAAAGACCACATCTTTTTTTTAATCCATCCCTCAGTTGATGAGAATT